CTTAACTCACAGAAAATGTAATGGTAGACCATAAGACAGAGTCTGCAAAAATAATAGACTTTTTTACAAAATTTATCTTTCATAAATTATATTTATATTTTTTTTAAAATGAGCTTGAGTATGCTATGAATTGCAATATTTATGATACTTAAAAAATTATGCAAGAAAAGTTTAATAATAGTAAGACCTCATCAAATGACCAAACTATTGGAAGTGTTGCTTAAGAAGAAGATGTATATTCCCAAGTGTTGGGAAATGAAAGAAATGGTTACATTCATAGTTTGGAACTTGATATAACTCATTCTTTGTTATGGATAATACATCTAATGAAATTATCCAAACGTTAGAGTAAGAGATAAAATAATTAAAAAATTATGATGCTAAAATGAGTTTGATGAAACAAAATCAAGACAAGTTACCAATAGAGTTGTCTTTCATGAGATAAGTTGTAGATAAAATTTTTACTACTAAGTTTTCTATGACTAAAAATTGTATTGGGAGCTCATTTGGACAAGTAAAGTTCTCAAATTAATCTTTTAAACTTTAATTTTTCTTAAAAGATGTTACTATAAGACAAATTTATTTTCTCATAACATAATATTTTCTAAATTCTTGATACTTATAGAAGCTGTGAACAAGTAACACAATCACTTCAGTCATATAGTGCTAATGAAAAGTGTGCACTTTTTCATGGTATTATATGTGCTAATATAACTCTTATTCTTATTCACATTTACTTAACTCTTCTTAGCTTTTAAATAAATTTTATCATTGAACTTTCATGTTTTTCGTATATTTATAATCTATAAATATAGAATTATTGTTATTGATTTACAATTTTCTTATAATATTTGTGTTATATGTAGCAACTCTTAAAACGTTAAGTAGAAATTCAAAAACTTTATATCGTGATTCAAGGCCATAAGTATTTTAATTTACAAATGAAATATTTAGTCTTTTGAGACTTAATCATCATCATTACTATGAATAAAGAGTTTCATTTGCTTGACACATCCAAATTGCATATTTGATTAATTATTATTAAATAAATATATTATTGTCTCTTTCAATTTAATTGAGAAAATTCCCAGATAATGCATATGAGGAGCGAATATGAGAGGAAAAGCAAAGAATGATGAATTATACACGAAAAGGAGTAATTGTTACAAGCCTTAATATTTCATATAAAATGTCCTACTGAAATAGCAAAATGTGTTTGAAATAGTATTTGAAACAACAAAATTATTAAGATTTGAAATTGTATATTTAAGTTATTAAAATTCAATATTGTCTCTCACAAAGAGAAATGAAGAGGTTTAACCGTTCTTAAATCTCAAGTTTAGAATGTTTAGCATCAATACATGTAATTTACCATTTCATAACATCATAGTCTCTCTTGCCATGTTGAATTTGTTCTCTATACTTTTTGTAACTTACCTTTTAACATGTGGTTATTCACAACATTCAATCTGTACTCTACATTTAAAAACGTGGTTAAATAAAACTTTTTGTATAAGAAATTATTATTTTCTTTATAATATTTTTAAAATAGAAAAAATTAAATATTAAATATGTAATGAGTTGTCATAATTAATAAGATTTTTTCTTTTTGGCATGCAAAATGTTGATAGTGTGGCCATTGTGAAAAGGTGAATTTTGAAGGAAGGAATAGAAGTTTAGACAAGCAAAGTCAAACACTACTACAATGTTTTTCATATTGAAATGTCTTTCTTCTTCTTATTTACTTGTTCATAAGCAAACAATACTTAAAGAAACATCACATTATAGCATATTTTAAAATATAAGATGTGTGATAAGCTGATTAGCAAGTATACCAAATCGTTTGTAATAACAAAATAGATTTTATTGTCCACAGAGATTAATATTAATTACCAAACCAGAAGAATGTCATTAGTTGGGTTGAAAAACATAGTATAAACTTAAAAGAGAAATTTAGATATTGTGCAGAAAGTGAAGGTAAGTTATAAATGCTAGAAAATTAAATTAACATTAAGTGTAAAAGTTAGACGTAAGAAATTAAATGTAAATAGAGCTAAGTGCATAATGTAACTAAATAAGAAAATGAAATATGAGTTGTAAATTGATTAAGAAATGGGTTGAGTTTAAAATTTCTTAATCCTCTTTTATTGCATAAAATATGTAACCTAGAATACAGTTCAATCTAATGGTTAAATTTTCTACAGTACCTAATACCAATTCTTTGGTTGATTGGTTCTAAACCAGTTCTAAAGTCCTAATTCCTTAAGTAATCAAGAAGATGATAAGCATTAAAATTAGAAATCAATAGGACCACACCATTATAGATTCTTATTCTTAGATAATCCATAATGAGCAATTTAATTCAAATCCAAGAAAGATTATAACTTTCTAGTTATAAGTTTCTATTCATCAACACTAAATTCTAAGAAATAAGGAAGCATTAAGTTAAGAATTAAATATGTTAGATAACAAATTATATTTGATTTATGTTCAATGTTCAGTTCATTGCAATAGACAAAAGATTATATTCATCCTTTTTCAACCCCAATAAATTTAGCAAGACATAGCAGAAATAAAGAAGAAATTGAAATATATTGTAGAAATAAACTTCATGTTCAACTGAAAGCAAATTATAAGAAATGTAAATGTAGGAATCACTATTCTATTAAAGAGTAAAAGGAATGGATGGATGTAGCTACTTCCTATCAAAATCTCATACAAAAGAGAAGAAAAAATTAAATAAAAGATATCCGTACGTAAAAATGTACAAAAAACCTAAAATTACGTGTCTTAAAAGTGCAATAAAAGGCATTTCCTTTAGCAGAAATTTCTATTTTTATGTGCTCTGTCAGGTTCGTGTTCCCACAATCAATTATGCATGTGTCCACAAATATGTCATGCAGCAATTCAACTTCTTTTCTTTAAATTCAATTACGATTTCTCTTTTAAATCCTTCAAAAATAACTGCCAACTATCAATAATTGAACAATTCATTATATTACATTCCAAGTAATAGCATTTTTCTAATGAATATTCTAATTAATTACATTAACTTGAATCATTTATGCAATGAAATGTGTCATAAGCATTCAATTTACTACATGAGTCAATGACTCATCAATATGCTTTTATATTGAATTTACTTCTTACATAAAATCATCACCATTATAATGTATAAACTTTGATTGCTAATAAAATTTGTAAATTTGACGATTAAGGAAGTCAAATATGCATTTCTTTAAAAGATTTATTATTATTTATTTAAAATAATTGTATGTATATTATTATTTAAAAATTTATAAGTACAAATATTATTGTAATTAAAATTTTTATTAATCAAATTGTTTATATTTAAGAAATTATAAATTATTAATAAAAGCAATTTCAAAATTTACCAAAAATAGTAAAGGCTAAGTAAATGAATAGAAAATAAATTTTAAAATTGATTTTAGTAGTCATTTAAATTATCATTAATATTTATCATTATAAGTTAAGGTTTTTTGTGACGATTAATTAATTTTTTACTAGCATTTTTATATTAGTTAATAAAATATTTATCCACATTGGATTGGATGCAACGATTAATAATTTTATATCAATAAAATTTTATAATGTTGCATGCACCCTCACCACCTTTGTCTTTCAAAGTCAAATTCATGTTAAAATATTATAAAACTTCTTAGACAAGATTTGATCTTGTCTAGTTCTATGTTTTTTGTAAATCATTTGACGGTTCCCATTTTTGGTCTTGGTAACATGGTCTGTGATTTTCTAAAAGCTTTCACATCCAGTATTCTTTAATTTTGTGTTGTGCCACAAAAACATCATAAAGTCAATAAAATTTATGGCAATGTGCAACAATATTTTGAAAAGAAAGAAGTTGCAGAATTAAATGCATGCTACCCTCGTCGCCAAGAGAGATTATTCACAGACTCATGCAAACTTATCAAATTTCTAAGCAAATTAACTATTTAACTTATTAATGAAGGTTTCCTGATTCAAAAACCAAATAAAGCATTAGTATAATAGTGTTGAATTAGGATAGGTATTGAAAAAAACAAGTCCAACAAATCGATTAATTAAAATACTTCATGTTAGGTTGAGTTTGGTATCATCTTTATGAGGCTACGTACCCAAACCAATATAACCCAATCAAATTTAGGTTGATCTACGTCAAGGAAATCATACTAAGAATTTTAAACATTAAAATAGAATCCTTTTGAAAGAAAAGTATAAAAAGTTAATAAAAGAAAAACATATATAGTATCATTTAAAAAATAGAGAAAACCATGGCTTAGGTTTGGACTGGACATGGATTGAGTAAAAAACCTTTTTGCCTTGGAAATCGAATAATGATTGAATTTTTCATTTATAACACTAAATTTAACTAGTGAATCAATCTAAACAATCAAATTTCTTTCGAATCAGGTTGGATGAGTCAGGTCACGCGCGTGGATCCAAACTCATCTATACCTCTAAAATAAAGTTGAAATTCTATCTTAAAAAAATACCCCATCCAAACAAAAAGATAAGAATAAAAGAAATTTAATTTTATATCCATGCAATTGAATTCCCTAGGCATCTTTTATTGCTCTACCCAAAAAAATAATAGTGTGATGAACTTACCAAGATTCAATAGTCACAAAGTGAGATCGAGAAGGGATCAATAAAAAAATTTATATATGCAATAATGGAGGCAATTTGATGTATATTCAGGTTGCGCTAATTTCATGTTCTCAAATGGAATTTGTATTAAAATATGGTTAACACATATGTCCTTAGACATAGCTAGGGAATAACCTAGATCACATAATATGTGTTCCTTCTTCCCTTTGAACCCATCACCTCCAAAAACAAAAAGGTAATCAAAGAAAAAACTTCCAAAACATGCATGGTTGAAAATCATTACTATAGCTGACACACCAAGTGAATCTCAAATGCTCTTATTCCTTAATCAAGCATCTAATTTCCTTAATTACCAAACATGGACTCAAACTTAATCAGATCTTTTCAGCCAATTCGGCAACTTCTTCCACCACAGATGCAACATTAGATCTCCTCTTATTTGGAACAAAGCATTTATCACGAATCTCGCCTTTCCCTTGACGATCCGTTATCACATTCAACTGACTCACCTTCACAAAAGCATCGGCAAATTTGTCAAAGAACTTTTTCTGGTCAGAAGCGAAAGTATTGACAATCTCCTTTGTTTTGGAGTTACTCGCCAAGTCTTGGTCGGAGGTGAACACACCCTGGTTGTTCAATAGGTTGATGTAATACATGTTGTCGAACTTATTCGGAGTTCTTATGTCCAAATCAACAGTGTTGGGGAATTCATCAGTGGGACACGTGGCATCGAGTTTGTTCTTGAAGTTTTGTTCTATTGGTGGGTCTGATTCTGTGGTCCTGTTGAATAATGAGGGACAGTGTGCTCGACCATATGTGTGTGCACCTGAGAGAGCAACAACATCTGCGGCATCGAAGTTTTTGGCTCCGAAAATTTCGAGGAGTTCATCGGTTCGTAAGAATGGTGCTGGAATATTGTCTGGTGCTGATGGATCGAATGACAGGCTATCTTTTCTTCCCAATGGCACATCAAAATCGGGTCCTCCTAGCTGTATAAATTAAGTCCAATGAATTCATGAAAAAGAAAACACCAGTGAATGTCCTCGTTAACTAAGCGTTGTTTTAGTTTCAAGTTAGATAGAATTAACTTTGAAAATAATTATTTATAGTTATTAAATACAATTGAGATTTATATATTAATTAATGTTACCTAAATATTTTTATTAAGAAAATACAATAATTAATTTCTTAACACTAAACAAACCAACGAACTTCTGATTTTGGTATTAAGAAAAGGAGTATCCTTTAAAAATGAAAATTATTGAATATGTAAGTTCTCTGTATTATACGCTGCACTTCATATTATATGTTATTTTAACTTTTCTTGATTTTTTTAAAAACACACTTATGGCTTAAAGAAGCATTTTAACTTTGTCATTAAAACATAAAGTTATGTTATGAGTGTCATTAAAATACTTGTAGAAAAAGTGAAAAAACTAAAAGTTTTTAAGTTTTAAATATACTGTACTTTTTATTTATTTATTTATTACTCAACTTGTCATCTTAGAATACTTATCATAAAAAATTATCTTTGATCTTATTTATAAAAAAAATAAATATGTAATTCATCAATCCTAAAAGAAAAGAATAATGAATGGACATTACTTGGCGAACAGCTTCACGCGCGGCGATAACAAGGATATCTGAGCAAGAGACAACAGGTAGACACTGCCTGTAGATGAGAATCCGAAGGTTTTCAATGGTTTGAATGGCCTCTTGCCTTAAGCCCAAGTTTGCGGGATGTTGCTTTTCATCATCTTCTCCATTCACCCCATTCAACAATATAGATGCATCGCATCCCTGTTCCAATTATCCAAATCAATCTTCAATTAAATTACCCTTTTTTAAAATATATATATATATAAAACACTTCTCGATCCCACAAAACTTTTTCTTATACTTCCTTCTAAGAGTAAATAAACTGGTGCCAAACAATCAAGTCTTTAGTGTATCCTTTATGCATTCAAAATGGAAAGGAAAAACTATAGTTGTAGTTCATCATCATTTATACTTTAGCTAAAATCCCAGCATGTTTGATTGATTAATTCACGTGTTTCAATAGTTATAGATTTACGTTTACTTTGAAATTATTAATTATAAATTTTGCGTTATATTCATGTTAATGTACAAGTGCTTTAACGTATTTCTAATTACATATTTAATAAGTTAAATTGATACACTGAATTATCATGAATATAAAGTTAGTAATTTTTAATTATCTGATAATTTATAATTGAATGGCAGCGTAAACTCAAAATCTCTACATTGTTAATATATTATAATTAAATTATATATTTTTAACAGCTAATTAAACGTTAAATTAACTTTTTCTTCTTTCATTTTATTTTCTTACACGTGTAGAAAACAAGAAATTAAGATGGAAGTTAGGGTTTAAGATTTCTTTATTAAAGTCTTATACCTGAGCAAAGCAATCATGGAAGAAGAGGCGAAGTAGTCCAGGAGCTTGTCCAATGTCCTTGTCGAAGACATCCTCAAGATGCTTCCTTATGATCCTTTCAAGCTTAGGACATAGCCCAAAATAGTAATTCCAAGATAGTCCCTTCACAATGGGAGGCCTTGCTACTCTCTCACAAAAGACGTGTGTTTGAGAAACCAATAGAAGTGAAGAAATGAAGAGCAAAGAGTACAAAGAAGTAGATCTACTTCCACTAACCCTACCCATGTTTGGGTTGCTAAGAGTGTCTTGAGATCATAAGCAAAACTTTGAGGTATTTATAGATTGAATCAGGGTTCATGGTTGCTTCCCACTAGTTTTTTGCGTAATAATTAAATGTAGCGCAAGCGTTTTAAGACTTGCTTGGAACTACCATCAGATTTCCCAAAGGTAACATAGATGTGAATAATGATAAAAATTTGATTCACGCGTATATTCGATGTGGAATGCAAATAAAATAGACAATATAAGAGACCAAACAGAAGCTTATTGGAAGAAAGGGACGCCAATGGAGTGATAAAATTTTAATTATAATTATTTATTGTGCCAATATTTCTTTGAACAAAGTAAGCATCACAAATATATTCGTAAGCACTAGGCTTCAAAATATTGTTAACATTGACAGCTATCTAATTAATGGAGAAGAAAATACGATTAATAGGAAACATATTCCTATTAATTTTTTTAGTATTAAATAAAGACACGTTGTAAAATTTATTTATAACAAATTTTGACTAAAAATTATAAAATATTGTTAACACTAAAAAATATATTGTCGCATGCTGTAAGATTAATTTTTCTGCCACTTCGTGTGACCACAAAATTTTAATAATTACTACAACTTTAATAATTATTAAAACAGTGTTAGCTTAGCTACCAATCATCCTGATTTGAAAAGACTTTGACAAATCTAAACCCAAGAAATTATTTTTTAAAGTCGTAGTCATGAGTTCAAAGTGATCTAAATTGTAAATTAAGTGAGAAGTCTCTTTTGATGTGATACTAAGATGAAGAATGTTTATTAAGTAATTACTGAAACGATACTTTATTCAGAGTGTACACCGCATGCATCATCATTAGCAATGCCCTATATACGCTGTAAAGATACGAAAAAACGCCGCATGCATAACTCTCATTTCAATAAAAAGAGGTTAAAAAGGAAAAAAAAAATTAAATGAAGTTATTAAAAAATTTTAATTAATTAGATTTTTAATAAATTTAATAGAATTCTGTGATTTATGTAACCGATTTCACTTAATAAAATAATAATTAATCATTGATTATTATAGTAATAAATATATGCAAAGACATAATCGACAATTAATTCATAAAAATTTACATATATATATATATATATAAATTAAATAAATAAATATAAAAATATTTTATTATATTTCATGTTACATCTCTGACCTTTAAATCTTTTATTAAAAATTGTTGATTATACTTTGATACTTTTTAATAGAGTTTTATTAAAAGTGATGGAGTTTAATCATCTAAAAGTTAATTTTAAAAATTAAAATTAACAATATCTGAAAATAGCAAGCTTTTATATTCTTTTATTCAATCTAAAAATGGTAATCTGTATATAAATTAAAATATAAGAATAAAAAACAAAATTAAAGTAAATTGGATAATCCATCAGTAACATCAAAACCAGGGGCTAAATATTCTCTGTAAAAGCATATTTAATTACAGGACTGAATTTATGTCTTGACGTCTTTGGAGATCGATGAGGTGTCTCTTATGATTCGTTGCAATAAATGAAGTGGGTAAGGCCATGTGATGAACACATCTCACCCAGATTTGCTCTCATTCTATTGTTGCTTGGGAACCCAGTTTTTTTTCTTTTTTTTTTCTTTTTAAAAAAGTTTCTTCTTTCATGGACAAAGGACACCTACAATGTACATTATTATGCATTTAAATATTTCTTCACAGTATAAAAAGACGACTAACAACTTTTAAAAATTTGCTGTAACTTTTATAATTGAAAGAATTTTCTCTCTCACGTATAAAATAATTGTTATTGTTAATTTTATATTAATAAATAATAAATTTAATAATTTAATTAAAAAATTGTTAATATTTTTTAATTTTTAAATACACTGAAGTTTACTGGTAACATACTTCCAAAATTTTCACAAAAAAAGTGGCACGGTGTGACATATTATTCACCTCCCGTGCTTTCCTGAACGTGTAAATGCAGACCATTTAGTCAGCATTGAAACAATAATGATATTTTATTTATCCTCGCGAATCTGATGCAAACTTTATTAATTCTCACCAGATTTAGATCATCAATATAGCATGGGCGGCTTAAATCTACCATTTTATTTTTTATGTTTTCACTATTTTCTTAAAGTAAAATTTAAGCAAAAGTTTAGATAAATTACAGTAAATTTAGTTGATCTTTAGTTTTTATTTAAGTCACCAATTGTCATTAGTACATAATGTGAAAACTAAGTCACCCTTCAAGTTTTATGTTGCTTACTTTGAGATGGAATGAAGACTTTGTTTACATTAATGTTTTTTACTAGTTTTTTTATTGTGTCTTGAATAATATATTGTGTTTCGAATTTATTGGAGCAGAGGTATGTGACATATTGCTCTTAGGACAAAAGTTATATAGCATACCAATTCCTTTGATTTTCCTAACATTTTATGTCCTTTGTCATCAAGGAGACTTACCATCTAAGGCACATTAAATGCAGTTTGGGTTTTACTCTGTTTTTTTCTTTTTCATGTTTAACTCTTTAAAATGGCTTAGAAAACAAAATCCCAATGCAAATTATCCATAGAAAATATATTTAAGATAACTATTTTTTACACTCCCTTTTATTATTAATCACACCATTCTTTTGTTTGTAATTTTTTAATATAAAATTCTAAAATCTATTTTTTGTTTTTAAAATTTTAATTATAAAAATCGTTTAAAATAATTTCCAAAATTTAATATCTAAAAGGTGGGGCAAAGTGCAACCACCAATGTTTGAAACTTGTGATCTGCTAAGCCCAATCAATTTTTCTGGCTAAATAGATCCAAGCCATTAACAGAACCAGAAGTAGTACGTCACCACCTGAAAGATCATGCTTTCAAAAGGTTGGGGTTTTGGCAGGTTGATTGGGTATAGTTTTGTAAAACAGAAACATTTAAAACTATAAAAAAAAAAAAAATTTAGTTTAGTTTAAATTTTCAAACCATTAATTGATGATTTTTATATATTTTTTAAATTATATTTAAAAATATTTAAAAATTATAAATATATTATAAAATACATAATCAATCATAAAAAAAGTAATAATAATTCCTTATTTTAGAAAATTAATTAATATAAACTTATTAAGAAAAATATCTCAAAAATCCAAGAATACACAAACATGTTGGATTTCAGAAAATATGAATCTAAGCATCGAACCAATAAATATCGAGCTTAATTGATTTGGTTTAGGTTGGACTCAATTGTGTAAGAAAAAAAGGAAGGAAGGAGCATACTGCGAAACAAAAATCAAAGTAAAAAGCACATTTATAATTTACAAAGTTAATTATGAGGGGGAAAAAAAAGAATCTTGAAATGAACTAAAACAAAAACAAAGCCATATGAGGAAATTTGGAGCAAAAGGAAACTTGCAATTTATTTTAAAAATAAAAGCCTTTTATCGTCTTTATTGAAGAATTTGAAAAATAAAAATAAAAGTTGGAAGCCCACTCCATCTTCTCTACTCTAGGGTCACCCAAACTGATCAGTACAAGAAGAAATGAAAGATAATGAAAAACTTCACAGCAATTGGTATAAATAAAAGGTTTTAAAATTTTAAAAGAATAAAATAAAAGAAATATATGTATTACACTATGTAAAATATTGTTTTTGTCATGCAATCAGTTATAAATATCACTTAACATAATATATGAATATAAATATTATTTAATATGATATATGAATATTCACTTACTGTTTCTTGAAAGTAGATTATCATAAAGACTAAATGGATGAAAAGAAAAAGGCGAGATTATCAAAAACATTCTAAAATTTTCAAAGTTCAAATACTTAACGTTAACAATTTCATAAACTAAATTAGATGTTTACTCTTTTTATTTTATTAATATACATGTTTCCTAAGAGAAAAAGAGATGCAAGGAGTAAGCTAAAGGAAACATTATAGCATTATCTACATTATTATAACATAAGACGATTAATCTTTCATTTGCTCTAGTGCATTCAATCTAAGCCAAGTTAATGTAGAATGACATTTAGAGGGAATGAGATCTCTACATGTGGATTGTCTATCTCTCCAATAGTATACATCACTTTACTAGTGAAGATAAAGGTCTAGTTAACTACATTAAAATTCGACTATCAAATTCTGAACTTGAATATCATACAATGTGTAATAGGGCCAACATCATTCATCTTCTCATTACAATTATGCAAAAGAGTCACAAGAAAAAATAGAAAACTGAATACATTTTTCACAAACTATTTCATGAGGAAATAATCAAATTAAAGAACATAAAATAACCAATCAACAAATAAAGTGTGGTTAAGTCTTTTGTATTTTTCCTTTACAATTTTCCCATTGAGTAATTAATTATTTCATTATTATATATGTCTATTCATAATTCTAATAGTGCTACATCCAATGGATTCAATTTTCATAGTGCACAAAATCAAATCATTGTGGTCACTTTTAATTGTATACATTTTCACCAATCTTGGTTTGTTTAAGTGTAAGTAACAATATTTACACAATTCACTCTCAGGAGTACAAGTTAACTAGACTTGTCTCTTGATTGACATGTGTACTTAACCATTCCTTATGTATAAAACTTAGACCAACACTTTCAATTTTCTCACTTGTATTTAGTGTTATTCAATCAATAAACTTCTAACCTTTAATCATTTTAGGTAAATTTGTGCCTCAAACTAAGAACCTTCCACCTTCAATCTAGATTGATTAAATTTACACAAAACTTTTTCAACCATTCTTTATTTTTAGAAAGTTCTTCATTAAACATATAATTTTTTTTATATATAGAATTTTGTATTTTCTTCTTAATACACTTGTACTTTCACTTCATAAATAATTTAATAACAATATTTCACTCCAAAAAATTATAAATCTTGTATTATTATTTTTATTATGATGTCTTTTAACCAAAATATAAATTATGTTATTTAAATTTTTATCAATTATGCTTACATATAAAAATACATCTTAAAATTAGAATCACATCAAAGTTTACAATTAGACTTTTTTTTTACTCTTTCCTTACTTAAAAATTTATGAAATTAATTTATATAATCAATATACTTAATAACATTATTTTTTTAAAAAATTCCAAAATTTTACAAAACAATCCCATGAAATTTTAAAATCCTATAGTTTAGTCTCTAAACTTTTGAAAATTTTTAAAAACACTCCTCCTTCATATATTTTGAAATATTTTCTTAAATCGATGCAATTCGACATTTTCATCTGTTTTCCACATGTAATCTCATATAGCCATAGAAAACTACCTTGAAATTAGTGAAAACTATTAAACTAGTGATTGGAAATTGGTTTGAATCAATTTTTAAACATTTTTTTAATTTTTAAGTAAATAAAAAATTGTATATAAGATTTATATATACATTGCTTTTATTTAATATTTTATTATTTTATATGATAGCTTTATATTAATGAAAATTTTACTAAGGTTATTTTTTATTAATTTATTATTTAATATATTATATATTTTATTACTAGCGATCTAATTATGATGTAACCAGGAAATTATAAACCAATACATCTATTATTTCAATAACCAAAATATATACATTGATGGTTAAAATTAATAATTGTAAATGTTTTATTATTGAGTTTAATGTGATAATAATGAGTTTGATTTCTCTCGATTGATCCATACTTACTACGTATCGAAATTTTCATACTCGTCTTTATTACCTTAATTTGTTAATTACAGTATGAGCTCTACAAACAATTTTTTACAAATTATTTGATATAAAATAAAAAATATATTTATTAAAATATAGCAAATAAGAAATGGAGTTATATACAACATCACTCATTTAAAATAAAAAATAATACAATGTATTAAACTACAATGTATAATATTTAAAAAATTATAACAATATTTATCTAAAATGATGATGAGTCATAATAAGATGACGAGTTAAAATAATGATGAGTCGAAATAAGATGATGGGTTTATTTTTTAAGTAAAAAATTTATTCTAAGAAATTTTTATATAATGATTAATAATATTTTCTTTTTAAGTAAAATATATTAATATGATTTTGTAGGCCGTTTGGAACCACAACCTCAAGCAAAGACTTTGTAGCCGTATGTTTGGGTCAATCTTATGATAGCTAAGAAAACCTAATCAATTAAAATATATCATCCATAAAAATATGATATATAGTAAAACAATGAAAGATCAAATTAATAAAATTTGCTATCAACAAAAAAAAAAACCCAATAAAACTTGTCTAATATTTTTTGCAATGCTTTAATTGAGTAAGTTGGGATAGAGTGTATATTTTTTTAATATTTAAGATTTTTTTTTCAAATTTTTTTATTTTCATTGTATATTAATATTCATTAAATATTATCTCGTTAACAGTAAAATTAAGTTATTTTATTTGTTAAGATAGGATTTTTTAATAATATATTATTTCAATAAAAATAATTTAGTTCCATAATCATTCTTTTTTAGTTTTAAGATAGTTATAACTTTCTAATTCTACAAATTCTATTAAGTGAAATTTGACTCTTGACTCTTTAAAGTGAAGTTATATTTTCTATTAAATTTAAATTAGTTATATTTATAAAATATTTTAATTTAAATTATAGATCGATAAAATTTCACTTTTTTAATATTTTGTTTACTTTAAAAGACTTCAATCTATGTGAAGTCACAATAAAAAATTCTAGTAAAAGACTTCAATCTATGTGATTGTTCATTTTTTAAAATTTTAAAATACTTATATAATAAATTTAATACTTTTAAACTTTTCTTTAAAATTGTTTAAAAAAATTGAGAAATAATAGAAAGTGTAATGAAGAATATAATAAGAAAATTGTGTTAATAACATTCTTCAAGTGACTCTATTACTTTAGAAAGAAGTATTTATTATTGTGTGATAAGAGAAAAAGCATTTTTACAATAAAAAATTCTTAATAATCTATTTATTATTTTATAAAAAAATGTTACATAAAAAATAAATACATTTAATATTTTGGAAACAATAAAACATAATTCTTTCTTTATTTTAGAATCACAACAATTTTTTAATAATATTTCAATTATTTGATGAAAATTATATAAAATGAAAAAAAAGTATTTAATATGATATATTATTATTCAAAATTATGATATAAATATATTAATAATATTAAATATTATATTATATACATTTTAAATTTTTTTTAATTAGTATTATCCTTATGACACTAATTAAATCTAGTCCTAATTAGTTTTGATGCTAGAAAATTAATTTTATACTTTCTAATAAAAAATACACATTTTAATATAAGTATAAGATTAAAATTATTTTTAAGATAGTTTAATTGCATATAAAAATTTAAAATTAATTTAATTATAATCAACATTATTTAACTTTAAAATACATGAATTCTATCTCCAATGACATTTAGCAAGAGAGAGAGGAAAACTAATATTAGTGCATTTATTTTGACATATTAATGTGAGTGAAACTAAAACTGAAGTATCTGTCAAGGTTATGTAAGTTTAAGTTCAAGCAAAATCGTTTTTTGCAATTTTAAAAAATACCCATTTTAATTAATTTAAGAAGAATTTAAATATATATTTTGATTATGTTAAATAATTTAGAATTAATTTTATTAAAAATAATTTCAACAATATTTAGCAGCAGTTAGAAAGAGAAGAACTAACTTTAACAATGAAACTGAAGTATCTATCAAGATCGAGCCAAAGCCCAATGAAAAGCCAGGTTGGCGGTGTCCCTTTAGGTTTCTTCTTCATTTACCATTTTTTTCAATATTATTTTCTCAGTTATTTCTCCATTCACCCGTTTGAATCTCTCTCTCGGTCTTTAGAATTTGAGGTGAGTGAATGATGGAGAGAGAAAAATTGGACTATCTCTGTCGTAACCGTTGTGATGATGCCACTTCAGAGTGGACCCCAACGAAGCTGTAATAATAATAACAATAATGGTAATACTAAATGCTGAAAAATAAAAAAACGGTTTTATTAAAGTATATTTAAGAATTTAGTACAGAAAATTTTTATAATTTTAAATTTATTTTTAAATTGAATTTGAATATCTAAAATTAATAATTTTTTATTTGTTAAATATATAAAATGTAATTAATGTTTAACAAATTACTATTTTTAAATATATAATAAATTCACAACACCAAATTCTTATTAATAATTTTTAAATCTGTATAAAAATCATAAAATAAAAATTTAATAAATTGTTTTATTAAAATTTATATATTTAATAAAAATATTAATGCAATAAAAATGGATAACGCCTGCTTCTTTGAGGTGGTGAATTTCAGAAATTTCACCGCAGAGAGAAGAAAGAAGGGGTTCTGGTTTCACAACTCACAACAACAACAACAACACCTCTTTCTCTTCCTTCTTCAACAGTGTTTTCCTTTTCTTTATTTATATATATTTTTCTATTCACTTTTTTCTTTTTATATTTACCCATAAAAACCAAACTCGCAAATTCCAAACCCGAAATCGCCATCTTTGAATCATACCCATTTTTTATTTTTGGTTTTTCTCTTTCTCTCTCGCGTTGAAGGTTGCAGATTTTGACCCTTGAATCGCTGAATCGAACTGCCGTTCAGTGGTGGGGTCGTTTCGGAGTGGCATAACGCGTTGTTGAGATGAGAAAAACTTGCATGGTTTGTGTCTGCATAGAGTTGTTGTAGCAGAGCTTCTTCTTCTTCTTATTATTATTCATGGCAGAGAAGCGCGTGTATGAAGCATGGAAAGGAAGTAATGTAATGTTCTTACTTTCTTTTCTTTTCTTTGTTTTTTCTTTTTCTTTTTTAGTTTTACTTTGCTGGTTTTTAACGAATTTATCTTTTAATGCTTGATATGCGAAATGGGTATCTGTTAGATTTGTTTTGTGAGTCGGGGAAAGTGTGGATTTTTTTTAAAAATTTTGTAAAGGGTTAATAGTTATACGTTTTGAATTCTGATTCTGGTTTTGTTGTTGCTTGGAAGTTGATAAATGGGAGTGAATAGAAGAAAAGAAGAGAAAAAGGTTTATCTTGGTAGTGGAGTTTCAAAATTTAGGAAGTGGGGTGTGTGCTGAGTTGGTGGGGTGAGATTGTGTGGTTTGGTTTGGGAATTGTGCTGCTTTGAATGAGCAGTTTTGCGTGTCTTTTGTAACCATTCTTGTGTCTATTTGTGTGAGGAAGCTTGACTTTGTTAGTAAACTGATAAACATTAATGGTGGTTCATTGGAGTTGGAGGAGTTGGTTGCAAGAAGAATTTAATGTGATTAATTGACTTTATGTATACCGTTTTCCTGATCAATAACTGGTCTTGGCTGCTACTGGTTTTCTGCTCAGTTATGGGGTTTTGTCTTCTAGTGGGGGAGAGATTGTGAAATAATACTTCTGTCTTGTGTCTCTTGGTTTGGTCGAAGCGTTAATCCATACTTGGCAAGTTGCTTTGTCTCATGGGCAAATGAGAGATGATGATAAATAACTTCTCCCTTTGTTTGCTGTTCGTTTATGATTGGTTTTGATCTCTAATGCTTCCCTTGTTGCTTGAAACTTGAAAGTTGAAAGGGGGAATAAAGACAGAGAAACTTTAACTTGGGAGTGTAAATTTTGGAATTTAGGACGTGGTGAGTGTATGTTGTGAGTCTGTGTGCGTTGAGTTTGTGGAGTGAGATTATGTGCTTTGGGAGTTGTGCAACTTTAAATGAGAAGTTTTGTCTGTTTGTATGAGGAAGCTTGACTTTGTCTGCAAACTGATGGAGCCTTTATAGTTGTTTAGTGACTGGTCATGGCTTCAGCTGGTTTTCCACCTTGTATTTGCCATAGGGGAGAGGTGTGTGAAGCAATACATTAATCAGGTGTTGTCTTAGTTAATTCCCAGCATTACCCTTAGCACGGTGAGATGCTTCTCATGAACAAATGAGTTATAGAGCTATGTAGTTATACAGTCTTTTTTTTTTCTTGTTTTGCTAAAACATTTTCTAAAGGTGGTGCATGTTTTGTTTTTGTTTATAATTGAGGAAGCTAAGAAGTATCATGAATTTGTGATAGTGATCAATTTTCTACATGCATGATTTGATGATAGTTTTCATATACAAAAAAAATTATGTTAGTTAGTTAATGTTAGTTAGTTAGTGCCCCCCTTCAAATTAATTATAAAATACTATAAGGCATTTTTTTTTTCAAGGAAGAATGTAGACACAACTTAGTTTGATTTTAGAGGCACTGTTGAATTCCAAAGGAACAATTCTATTGTTGTCCTTATGTTTGCAATCTAATTTGACAAATACACCGTCCAAAATGGCTAAGGAACCAGGGTAGGTGCCGGTGTTCTGTGAGAGGTCATTACTATAAGTGCTCTTTGTAATATTAATGTGGAGGTCTGATTTAGGAACAGTAGTATGGAAGATTGCTGGTGAAAATTACTGTACATTTATACTTTGGAGCAGTTTTTGGGTGGTTTTTTTTTTTTTTTTGTGTGTGTGTGTAAATCACTGGCTAAACTAGTGGTAGTTTGCAGTTTATGTAGTTCTTGGGTGTATTTGGGTGAACCAGAATGCATGCTCACCTTTAGGGTTGTGGTTTCTATTTTCTTTTAAACTTGCTATAGGTTTTTGCTTTTGGCAATCTGCTAGAATCTATTTCAATTAAGGTGCCATTTTTTATATGCAGAGAGAGACTGGAAAACTTTGCTGTGTTATTGAATTTTTCAAGATCTGTTCTTTCTTGTCTTTTCTTTTACCTTTTAGGTTGTGTTACTATCCCCTAGTTGTATATTTTCTCATCTCTTTTGTGATGTAGTCGCCTGTATTTGATTTTGTGTATGGCCTGACATGTGATCCAACCTGAAAAGCATCCAAACAAAGACTTTTGATGGAGATTAGGAGTGGGGATAGAATGACTACACCTATAGTCTCCAAACTGCTGGCTACATTTCATACAGAAGTTTAGTTTACTTTATGGTTGTTATTGACAACAATTACTGTTATAAATAAAATTGCTAACAGTGTTCATCAGAAAATTCTAGTTTTAGGTCTCGCAAACTGTAATGTTTCTTTCCTTGCTTTTTGTTTATGGTTAATGCTCTTATTATTATTAACTGTGATTGTAGCAGTATTGGTTTTAAGTCTGACCACTGATATTTTTGGTTGCAAGAGCCCTTTGTTCTTTAAGCTTTAGCAATGCGCTGAACCACTTTACCAAATTCTGAAATTTAATATAGTTATGAAGAATGGAGGAACCAAGGAAGTAGTGATTGCATGTTGATGATTCATTCATAAAGACTTTCCATATCATGTTAAGGAAAAGGGGCCAACTCTCCCATGACCATAACCTATCAGGTGGAGGTTTAGGAAGGATATAAATCTCTAATAGGAGAATAAGTTAGAAAGTAGAAACTAAACATACGTTTACAAGAAAACACTAGAGATGAGTTTGAGTTAAAATCCTACTAGTTATTGAAAAGAGCATAAAAAGCTGTTGTGGTTGGAGAGCCCAATGCCTTATAAATAAACCACACATTAGAATCCCATATTTCTAACGTGGGAATCAAGTCCCACACCTTGCCATTGGGAAGGGATTCTAACATCCCACCACCCTCCACAGCCCCAATGCCCATGTGGGCTGGCTGCGTTAGTCCTTGACTAGTCTCAGGCAAACACTGCAATGCCAGCTTCACTACTTGCTCTGCTCAATTGCAGCTGAGAGACATGGTGGAAGGCTCTGATACAAATTGATAAGATTTTTGGAAAAATCATACTTGATAAGAGTTTTGGGAAAATCGTACATTCATACCACAAAAACTAGTTGTTGTTGTTGGGGAGTCTAAGGGTTTATAAACCCGTACTAGAATTCTAAACATCCAATATGAGACTCAAGTTCTATACCTTACCATTAGGATCCTAGTAAAAAATCCAATTATTCCAATCAATGTAAAATATATTCTAGTTCCAAAGCTTTTGTTTGTAACCATGTGGTGTGATATAAAGATTCTAAATGATAAAGAGAGGTCATGCATGATGCATCAATAAGAAGATAATCCCCTAATAGATAAATAGTCTAAAACTCTAGTAGGGGGATTTGTGATATTGTTTTACATGATTCGAGTGAGTAATATTGATTGCAACTCTGCATCCAAATTAGCAAACAATTTGTTCATCTGTTGAATCCCATGCTTGGCTCAAAATTATTTGACACCCTAATAATGTGGGTGCCTATATTTTTGTTCACCACTTCACACCACTAAGAAGGTAGTTATGAACAAGTACCTTGAGATTCTCCTAACCAGAACCCTACTATCAATAACATGTTTGCTGACAATCTTTTTGAGATTGTCTTTGTAATGTCCTAGCACTTTTGGAAGAAAGCAATTGTGAATTTGTCTATGCTTGGGGCTTTATGTTGATTCATATCCCAAAGTTCCCTTTGTTCTCCTCAGAAGATTATTCTATCAAAATGTCCTTGTATGTAGAAATTAGATTCAAGTCTTAATCCTTGATGAATGGTCTAAAATTGTTCTTTTTGTAAATCAGGTCTTACAAAATCTCATAAGATCTTAAAGTCTTTCCCATGGTTTGCAATCCCAATCACAGCTGTGCCTTGTTTTTTGCTGAATTAGTGGGATTGCTGAGTAAAATTGCAAGATCAGTTGGATTGGATCCCACATTCCCAGTGTTCCTATCAATGTTGTCAAAAAAAAGTTTTTCCCTCCCCTATTCATTTTTTTTTTTCAATTCTGTTTTTCCCTCTCCTATTCTGTTTTACTCCCCCATTTTTCTCATTTTTCCCTATTATTCTGTTTTCTTGATTCTGTTTTTCTGTTTTCACTTCCAAGTTTCCTTCTCCATTTTTTTTTATTCTGTTTTTCTGTTATAACTTCAGCTTTTTTTTTCCCTCTATTTTCCAACCATTTTATTATTTTTTTCACAAAACCTTCTTCCTTTCATATGTAGTTAGTTTTTTAGCTTTATATCACATTTTGCAGTGTATATATATATATTATGACTGCCATGCTCCTGCCATGGCTTCCGCCATGACCTGGCATCTGCCATTGATAACATTGGTTCCTTATTGACCCATCTATTTTAACTTAAACCTGAAAAGCCATGGATGACTTGTTGTCTGACCCAGTTCCACAGAGATTTTAAATGACTATTTTTTTATACTTTTCTGGTTTGTTTTAGCTGTGTTCCTCTTCTAGTTCTTGTGTATCATTGCATCTGCCTCTTCCCTCTTTTCTCCATCTCCTTCTGATAAGAACCTTAGAGGAAATACACCTCAAAAACTAATTGTTGTCGTGGGAGAACTCAAGGCCTTATAAATCCCATATTAGAATCCTGTACTTCTAATGTGGGACTCAAGTTCTATACCTTGTAATTGGATCTTAACATCACACCATGCTTTTCAGTCTTGTTGCCCCATGCAGGATGGCCATGAACTAGCTGCTTCACTAGTCTCAAGTGAACACTGTCATGCTGTCATCAGCACCTGTGACTCGATTGTAGCTGGAAGACATGGTGGAAGGCTTTGATACCAATTGACAAGAACTTTTGCAGATATCTCCCAATGTAGCATTAAAATATTCTGTGCCATTATTAGTGTGCAGAATTTGAATGTGTATATGTAGCTTTGTTTGAATAAATAAATGAAAGTTAATAAGCACATGACGAACCCCTGTTGTGTCGTTAAACAGATAAACCCAATAAATTCAAGTATGAAAGTCAATAAATGTAACAAATCACCGAGTATGATTGAGAGTGCAAGAAGCACTGCATAAATTATTGTATTACAAAATAACAAAATTCTCTCTTAAGAATGTTAAATGAAAAAAAAAAAAAATTCTGCTTTTGTTTGAATATATAGGAAATATCTTAGAATATCTTTTGTGCATCTTAAAATGTTTTATAATATCTCAGAATTTCTTCAGAATACGTTGTGAAATCAATCAGTTTTTTATTTGTGGAAGCAATCTAGGCATTGTTTCCCAATGTTATGTTGTTTCCATATTTATTACCACATATAAGTAGGGTAAATCCTACAAATTTCAACAAGAATTTGTTTCAAAGTAGTAATGTTATCCTCCTGAAATGATGTAGCTTGCATTTTGCTAAATTTGTTCATCCTTATTTCAATGTTATTTTTTAATGAACTATTTTCTGTTATTTATTAAAATTTTATTTCATTTCAAACTTTTCTCTTAATCTATACAGAAATTCCTATTTGGAGGAAGGTTGATATTTGGACCTGACGCTAGGTCACTACTTGTCACCTTGTTGCTGATCATTGTTCCAGTTATCATCTTTTGTGTATTTGTAGCAAGGCATCTTCGGCATCAATTTTCCTCATATAATGCAGGATATGCTATATTGGTGGTGGCTGTTCTGTTCAATATTTATGTAAGTTCTATTAAGTTTTTCTGTTCATTGTCATTTGATTTTTTTATACTATTGTTCATCAGAGACTTGTTATTTTGCACATCCTGTAATCTTTTTAGGTTATCTTTTATTTAGAACTTGCTTTCTACTATCTCATCTAAATATTCCTCTTGGTTCTACAGTCCATATCTCCTGCATGCCTCCTCTCCAAATTAGACAATAATTTGTTGAGAACATCACATTCACATGTTGAAAGAATTTATCAGAGAAATTGTGTTAGGCTCAGTAGTTAACCCACCCCAAAATTACTATTGAGGGATGGTCACAGACTCACAATGCTTAAGTTATGGATACACGATGATAAACAACTTATACTAAACATAAAATGCTCAAAACTGAAAAAGAAAACAAAATTAAAGACATTCATAATTGATATAGTCATAGTGTAGACACAATCACCTTCAATCTAAGGCTCAATTAACTTGAAAATATTGAAAACTGAGTAATAAGAACAAAAGAATGGACTAATGAGGTAAAAAACAGTGGCCTGGGCAGTGCCATGTACAGAACAGAGTGAAAAAAATCATGGACTTGGTTGGAGAAAATGAGGAAGTTGAAGCAGTTTAGTCCATAGTAGTCAATAGCGGCCACAATTGCAGTAAAGTGGATTGGAGCATCTCCCTACCGCTATTTCAAGTGCATAGCATTGCGGTTCTCTGTAGTGGCTGGAGCAGCAGGAATCGTGGCCAGAATAGTGGCTGTTGTGGCTGCTATTTGATGCAGGACAGAAGTGTCAAATTTATCTTTGTTTTCTTAACATTTGAAGGCTTTTAAGGGGGGAAATTTTGGGATTTTGCTCCCATTTACATTGTCAATATTTGTTTGCTGTTGTATTATTCAAACTCAGTATTCATGAACCCTAAGTGCTCCCTTTCTCCATCTTTGGCAACTTCTGCTTCGTCCAGCAAGCCTCACATTAGCCGATGTCCTTTTTCGGCCTAGTTCTGGTCATCTTCATTTTTGGCTAGACCTACTCATTTATGACATGACCCATTTGCATTAGGGGCTACTCTCCAACCAAAATTTGACTCGGTTCACTATATCTAGCCAAGTTATAGTCATCAGCTTCATTTCCAGCTAGACCCCACATATTTTCCAATGAGACCATTTGCATTGGGGGTTTCTTCCAGTGAGATCACTTGCGATGGGGGGTTTCTTCTCTGTTCTGTTCTGGCTTGCAAGAACCCTCCAAAATGATTGAAATTTGAAATCTTCAGCATAGATATGTGTAGCATAATCTATATTTGGTGTATTTTAAATTTTCAAAATAGTGGTCATCGTGCTATCCACTATTTTGCTATAGCGTGTTTGGAGTCAGTCGCTCCGTGCCTCTGTCCAGGATTACTATGGTTTAGCCATGTTTAGATCTCTCATTGTCTATAGATATGAACAATGTATAGCTTATAAAAAGCTTTGGTAATCCTTATCTTATGAACTAGCTTTTGAGTTAGTCCTAACTAACCCAAATTTCTGATGGTATCAAAGCTTATTGTATATATGATGTTGGGCCACTTTCAATTGTCCAATAATCAACCTGGCTACAGATTTTTTAATATAATCAACTTGGTCTTGTGGATTTTCCAATGTGTTCTACCTGGTCCCGTGGCTATCCTAGTGCAATTTACCTTGTCTTGTAGTTTTCCAGTGCAATATTAAAAATTAGTCCCATAATCTACATGTCCCAGATGTGTAGTCCTAAGTCTGAGGAAGGCGTGTTTCAATCCTACATTGAATATGGATAAGATTGAAGTAGGGCTTATAAGGGGCAATCCTCACTTCATTAGTTAACTTTTAGGGAAGAGGTAGGCTCAACCCAAATTTAATAAGTGTCTGATGCTAGCTTATAAAAATGGTTTTGGATGGTCAAAACGTTAAGGGGGAGGCAAAAATTTTGGACGAAGAAGAAGTTTTCCAATTCCAACCCTAGACATGTCTAACAACAATAGAAATCATGAAGGTCTGGTCAGAAAATTAGGTGGGGCATGGTACAAAGAGGGGGACCCTGATAAGAATAGTGACTGCACACTGTGACAAGTAGAGCAGGGCATTGAGGGGAAGTTGCTCAATTTGCTGCAACAGTGCAATACAATAGCAGCACCTGTTCTGGCATTTATTGAATGATTCTGATAGAATAAGAATTTTTGAATGATGGAAAGTGTATTGAATAGGCTCAGTCGAACTAAAGCTTTCTGAATTGTTTGAGCTCTCAAGTGGCTCAATTGCCCTATTCTCCAAATAATACACGCTGTCCATTCTATCTATCATAACCTTTATTTAAACTACGTCTAATGGAAAAAACAAACATCATAACCGAAAGATAATAACAGAAAAATAAAAAACAGAAATTAAATTTTGAAAGCTAATCTATTTCCTAACACCTTTCCTAAACTGTTGCCTTTTATAAACTTTTAAACCCTCTGGAAATTTGTTTCTAACAACACTCCCCTCTTGAACAACCACCTTGTCCTCAAGGTGAAATGCTGGAAATGCTATCTGAATGTCTTCAGCAACCTCCCATGTGCTCTCATGATCTAGCAAGTTCTTCCACCTAATCAATAGTTCCGTGTCTCCTTGGCTGTTGGTCCTCACTGCCAGGACCTCTTCAGGTTGTACTAGTAACTCCCAATTTTCATTAAGACTGGGGGGTAAGGGTTGACTCCTTACTTCGGCTGCCACACATTTTTTAAGCAGAGAGACATGAAAAACAGGATGTATTCTTGCCTCCTCCAGTAGTTCGATCTTGTAGGAAACTTCTCCAATTTTCTCCATTACCTAGTAGGGGCTGTAGTATCTAGGACTGAGCTTTTGATTGGTTTTGGTGGCTAGAGTCTTCATTCTATAAGGCTGGATCTTTAAGTAAACCATTTCTCCTACTTCAAGCTCAATTTCTCTCCTTTTCTTATTAGCTTGGGCCCTCATTCGGTCTTGTGCCCTATTCAGCTGCCACTTTAAATCTCTGAGGATGCGGTCTCTTTCCACTAGAGCCGAGTTGACCTCCTCCACTGCGGATGTACCGACCTCCCCTCGTATGATAGCCGGCGGGTCTCTACCATATAATGCCTTGAAGGGGGTAGCTCCTGTTGAGCTGTGATATGTGGTGTTAAACCACAACTCAGCCCAACTCAACCATCTAGCCCATTGCTTCGGCTTAGTGCTGGAAAAACACCTCAAATAAGCCTCCAAGCACCTATTTATTACTTCCGTTTTGGCCATCGGTTTGTGGGTGATATGCTGAACTGAACCTTAGTTTGGTCACTGCTGCCTTGAATAACTCCTTTCAAAAGGAGCTCATAAAGACTCTATCTCTGTCTGAAACAATTGAGGCTGGGAATCCATGTTTGTTGAACAAATCAGCCACGTCTTTGGCTGTGTAAGGGTGAGCTAAGCCAATGAAGTGACTGTACTTAGTCAGTCGGTCTACCACCACTAGGATAGTATCCCAGCCCTATGACTTCGGTAGTCCTCCAATGAAATCCATGGAGATATCATCCCAAACCTGTTGTGGAATCGGCAAGGGCTGCAAGAGTCTAGCCGGGCTTAAAGTCTGGCACTTATTCCGGTTGCAAGTATCACAAGCAGCCACATACTCTTGAATAGTCTTCCTCATTCCTTCCCACCAAACCAAGCTTGCAATCCTCTTGTAGGTTCTGAAAAATCCTAAGTGGCCCCCTATGGCGGAATCATGAAACTGTTGGAGTAGCAGTGAAATCCGGGGAGAATTTTTAGGGAGTACCAACTTTCCTTTATGGAAAAGCCTTCCATTTTTTAGCTCATAGTTGCTGGCTGTAGGCTCCCCTTGTATAATCTTTTGTATGATGTCTGTTAACTTCTCATCCCCTCTGATCTCCTCTTCTAACCCTGCCCATTCTTGGGAAGTAATCGTAGAAAGGGCCGTTAGTTGAAGCTTCCAGGAAAGCACATCTGCAACTCGGTTTTCCTTTCCAGCTTTGTATTTGATTTCAAACTCAAAGCCCATGAGTTTGGATATCCATCTTTGCTGCCCTTCACCCAATACTTGTTGATCAATTAAAAATTTGAGGGATTTTTGGTTTGTGTGCACCGTGAATTTCCTTCCAAGCAAGTAGTGCCTCCACCTCTGCACTGCCAGAGCAATTGCCATTAACTCCCTCTCATACACAGATTTCATTTGGTTTCTGCTTGAGAGTGTATGACTCCAGAAAGCAATATGCCTTCCCTCCTGCATCAAGACAGCCCCTAATCCTGTTCCTGAAGCATCGGTTTCCAACACAAATTCCTTTTCAAAGCTAGGGGCTGCTAGCACGGGCAAGGAAGTCATGGACTTCTTCAAAGTTTCGAAGGCTGTTTGGGTTTCCATGTTCCAACCAAATCCATCCTTCTTCAACAACGTTGTGACAGGCCAAGCGAGCTTCCTGTAATTCTTCACGAATCTTCTGTAGTATCCAGTTAAGCCCAAAAATCCCCTCAATCCTTTCACGTCTCGCAGTGCAGGCTAGTTAATTATAGCTTCAATCTTCCTAGGATCAGCCTCTACTCCTTCCTTAGAGATAAGATGCCCTAAGTATTCCAACTTTGCTACCATAAAACAACATTTTTTTCTGGTTGACATACAACTGGTTCTGTCGCAATAGTTCCAACACCTCCCTTACTTGCCTTACATGCTCTTCCTTGGTCAGATTACAATGTCATCAAAGAAAACTAACGCAAATCTCCTCAAGTGGGGTCAGAGTACTTGATTCATGAGGGATTGAAACGTGGAAAGGGCATTGGTTAACCCAAAAGACATTACCAAGAATTCATAATGCCCCTCGTGTTCGGAAAGCTGTCTTTTCAATGTCATCTTCTTTCATCCTAATCTGGTGGTACCCAGATTTTAAGTCCAGCTTAGTAAAGATTTTAGCTTCGCCCAGCTCGTCTAACATCTCTTCTATTGCTGGAATGGGGAACTTGTTTGGTCTTGTGATGGTGTTCAAGGCTCGGTAGTCAACGCAAAACCTCCACCCTCCATATTTCTTCTTTACCAACAACACGGGGCTTGAGTACGGGCTAATACTAGGCCTGATGATGCCAGTCTCTAACATCTCATCCACAATCTTCTCAATCTCATTTTTCTGGGAGTGCGGGTAATGATAGGGCCTGATATTTGGTATGGAAGCTCCCTCCTTTAGGACTATAGCATGATCGCATCTCCTTGTAGGGGGTAATCCCCTGGGCATTTTACTGATGTCGGAAAACACATTGAGCAGTTCACTCATGGTTTCAGGTATCTTTTGTGAGGTTTCTTCTTCGGGTTGAGGCTCCACTGGGGTTACCAAAACACCTTTGCCTTCCCTCTTCAGCGCCTTCAAGGCCGTCTTGAACGTGGCCCCTTTCTTGCTCAGAGATGGGTCTCCCTGTATCATCAGGATTTCTGCGCCCTGGTGTCACCTAATGTAGAGCTGAGAGAAGTTTGCTGTGATTGTCCCCAAACTTTGCAGCCAGTCCATACCAAGTACCACATCCACGCTTCCCAGTTTGATGAGGAAGAATGTTTGTATTATTGTCACTTCCTGCACCTTGAGCTTGACTCCTTCGCACACTCCTGTACTCTGGTGCTATGCTCCCGTTCCTAGCTCCACTCTGTATTCTGGGGTGTCTGTCACTTTTAGCCTCAATTGCTCGACCAACGCTGTGTGCAGGAAATTTCCTTCAGCGCCACAGTCCACCAGAATAGTGATGTCGCGGCCTTGAAGACTCCCTCGCACCATGAAAGACTTCTTGTTGGTGAACCCCTTTAAGCTTTGCAATGAAATCTTCAATATGCGAAGTCTGGTTTCCAGGGGAGGTGCTTCTTCTTCTTCTAACGGAGTCTCGTCTTCCTCCCCCGTCCCTTCGCCTTCACTTCCTTCCACTAGTTCGAGCCAAAAGTGTCTGTACTTGCACACATGCTCCTTATTCCATGGGTCCCCACACTTGTAGCACAGTCCTCGACGATTTCGATCATGGATTTCGGCTTGAGATAATCGTGGTCGCGGCTGGGTATTATGTGGTGGGTCTCGTTTGGGTTGCAAGTCACGCATGGTGTTATTGGGCCAGGCTTTGGTTGTTGTCTGTCTCGGTTTTGAGTAGGGCGAGCTATTGGGCCTACTGTTGCTGGCCCCTTTGGCCCACTGGGTGACTTGGTTATTTCTCCAAGCTCGGTTTCTCTCTTCTAGAAGGATGGCCTTATCCTTCATCACCATCAACGACTCCAGCTCCAAGCTCCTTAGCTCTGCCTCGATCTCCTCTTTGAGTCTGTTGAGGAAGACTCCGATCTACACCTCCATGTCAAGATGCTTAAGAGGATGCGAGAGTTTCTCGAACTCCTCTATGTATTCTCGCACAGAGTTAGTTTGTCTCAGGCGAAACAGTGCTCCAAAGGGGTCCTTGCTCGCACCTGGTTGGTAGCGACCTACAAGGAGCTTTTGAAATGGCGCCACGAAGGACCATCGTATGCTCCTCCCAAGCATAAAACCAGTTCAGAGCCGCTCCTTCCAAGGCAAGGAGCACCACATCGAGGCGCTCATCACTGGCAATGCGTTGGAGGGTGAAGTACCTCTCAATCTTCATCAGCCAGTTAACTGGGTCGTTGCCGGAAAAAATTGGAAGTTCGATTTTCCGATCACGGTCTGAGGGCGGTGAGTAGTAGCGTCGGCGGTCTCGATCTCGAAACGGGGAATGGTGGTGCCGATCACGATCTGAGGGTGGGGAGTAGTAATGTCGGCGGTCTCGAAACGGGGAATGGTGGTGTCGGCGTCTGGAGGAATCTTTAGGTTTGCGAGGGGACAGGGATGATTGTCCGTGGTGGGGGTCGGGGGAGGCTGAGACCTCTGATCTAGATGTGGGTCTCCACCTTCCTGCAGATTGGCGGTGGACAGCCCTGGGTGGTGTGCGGTCACGGCGGCGCGATCGGCCCCGCATAGTCATCCGCTGCAGCAGCTCTTCCAACGTCTTCTCCACACGCTCCAAACGTTCAGACTCCATTGTTTCAACAAAGAGGTATCTTCGCACCCTAAGATATAGCTTTGATACCAGATTGATAGAATAAGAATATTTTAATGATGGAAAGTGTATTGAATAGGCTCAGTCGAACTAAAGCTTTCTGAATTGTTTGAGCTCTCAATCGGCTCAATTGCCCTATTCTCCAAATAATACACGCTGTCCATTCTATTTATCATAACTTTTATTTAAACTACGTCTAATGGAAAAAACAAACATCATAACCGAAATATAATAACAGAAAAATAAAAATAGAAATTAAATTTTGAAAGCTAATCTATTTCCTAACACCTTTCCTAAACTGTTGCCTTTTATAAACTTTTAAACCCTCTGGAAATTTGTTTCTAACAGATTCAAAATGAATTAAAGAATAACTCGGCTGACAAAAATGATTTCCTATTCTAGCAATCAATAATTGATTATTCTAATTTAATCAAAACAAAAATAGTTGACTATATATCATAACATGAATGGAAGTATTCTCTAAGTTTGTAAGTGTTAATATTTTGCTGTCTCCCTCAATGTGAAGATCATGTGACGATGCAATAGCAGCTAAAAATGCTTGTTAACTAGCCATGCTAGCACACGTTATGGTATTTATTGATTGATTTACAATCAATAAAAGAATTGTCTCAAATGAGAGAAGTATAATCTCTAGCCTAATAATTTGTATTTGATTATTCTGCACTAACCAAATAAAATATTGAATATATATTCTAAAATGTTTATAGGCTTTCCTCTCAAGCTAAAGATTTTAAGCTCTTGGCTTGTTACACTTAAACCTTGTTACAACTAAAGCTTGGCAAACATTGGTGAAACCTAGCAAACAGATCGCAAGAACTTGTCAAACCATGTAGGAATTACTGGACTGGCCAAATACAAGCTGAAAGCAACAAAATGTAGCTATAACATGTCTAAATGGAAGTAGCTTCACAGAGGATAAGCCACGGTGGATCCACACCCAAACAGTGCATTTGAGTTCTGGAACTGAGGCACACGGGGTAGATTAGAGTTGATAAGGGGCTGCCGATCATCTAAGTTGCCCCCAAAAAAGAGATCTTATCAGGTACCCTGAAAATATACAGGTAGGAGATCTTGCAAAGAGGAAACAAATTACGAAAAGTGTAGAATAAAATGAGGAAAAATATGTGAAGTCAATATTGAAATCAAGATTAGGTAGCAGTTGTAAAATCCACTAGGAATTCTTTCACGCCAAAACAGGCAGAATGATTCCCATCTGTAGAGATTCACCAGGTGGTCTTGCTTGAAACCCATGTAGTATTATCCACAGAAACCCTTGTCATTCTTTATAAGTCCAAAATTTGAGTCTTTCCAGTGGTAAGCACCACAAAGGATGTAAGGAACCATAATTTATCTCATCCATCTTTCTGTATATGAGCCAGTGCTGACTCCTGAACTGTGGCTTCTTTAACCCATTCAATAAAAGCTGGATCCATTAATCAAGACTCCATCTGTTGTGGGTTGTAAATAAAATAAAACAAATCCTTTTTTGTTTAGTAAAGAATGGGATTTTCAGCATAAGAATAAACAAAACATGGATAAATCTCTGGGGTTTTTCCCCTTAAATCCAAGTGATCTTTTCAAAGGCTTTTGCCCATGATCCAATCAAGGGATCAAAATTGATTATAAAAGCATGAGTTTGATTAGTCAATTTATTAGTGAACTTGAAAAAAAATATTATGTCAATGGTTGAGTATAAATTAACTTTAAAACAACAAGGGTTTATTACATTCAGTAAAACAAGCTGATATTTTATCTCTTGTGACCTTTCCTTTGATGAAAAATTAAATCTTAAAGATGGAGGGTCAGATGCATGCAACCTCATCCCTAGTCAACGGCATAGAATAAAAAAATGTATGATGCATCTTTTAATTTTTGTCTTTGAAAAAGAGTTCACATATATTGAGTAAGGTCGTTGTTCTTGTTTTCACATTTTCTTTTATTTTAACCATTGTGCTTGTGGAAAATTCCTTATTTATATATTAATTTTCTTCAATCTTTTCTGATTCCCCAGACCTTGATGCAATATAATTATATTATTTATGTTTTATAGGTGTTGATTCTTCTCTTTCTTACTTCCTCACGTGATCCGGGCGTTATTCCGAGGAATTTACACCCACCCGAGGAAGAGTTCCGTTATGACTCTTCAGTTTCTGTTGATATTGGGGGACGACAGACTCCAAGCCTTCAGTTCCCTAGAACAAAAGAAGTAATGGTCAATGGGCATCCTGTAAGGGTGAAGTATTGTGATACTTGTATGCTTTATCGTCCTCCTCGATGTTCACACTGCTCCATTTGCAACAATTGTGTTGAACGTTTTGATCACCATTGCCCTTGGGTGGGCCAATGTATTGGGCTGGTATGATAGTTTACATTCTCATGTTATTGATTTTATAATATGTGTATTGTTCTGTTCATATTGATGTTCTCGGTTCATTACTTGTTTGCTTTCTTGTTATTTATTTATTTGTTTATGGCTTTTCCAATGTGCAGAGGAACTACCGTTACTTCTTTCTGTTTGTTTCTTCAGCAACTATTCTATGTATCTATGTGTTTTCCATCTCAGCTTTTTACATCAAGGTTCTGATGGATCATTATAATGGGACAGTCTGGAGGGCAATGAAAGAATCCCCTGCATCTGTAGTATTAATGGGATATTGTTTCATCTCTTTATGGTTTGTTGGTGGACTAACCGGCTTTCATTTGTACCTTATTGGCACAAATCAGGTTAGTTGATGTCTTTTACATTCCAAATCTAATATCTTGTTTATCTCATTGTTCATTGTAACTGCAGACTAGGTGATTGCTACTATGAATAAACAACATTAGAAGAATTGTCCTCTATGGAACTAATTTGAAACCCCTTTTGAAAAGATATTCTTAAGATGCCTTATGGATTGTGAACTTCTCAATCTATCAGTCACATTATTTGTAGGAAAGTCGGTGTTCAATTTATTTTCTTTCTCCTGTGAGCTTTGTGCCAGTTCATGTAGGGTGTGGATGTGGACAAAATGAAGTAAAACTGGGTGTTAAAACATTCAGTGGTTGTTCTTGAAAGATAGCCAAAATTAAGCAATTGAGAGGAAAGGAAGTTTTAGATAATTTTAAAATCATAAGCCCATTTTCCTTTATTCCAAACTAGTAATTTTAAATTTTTAGAGGTTTGAAATTCTCTATTTTCTTCTTTCAATCCAAACTCCAATTATAGTTCCAACCTGATTCACTTGTACCAAGATAAGAGAAGAAAGTCATCCCTACTGAGTGTTTTACACGTTATGGAAGAGACAAATATATCTCCTATGCAGTGTCTCGAGTGTCCAAATTTTATAGAAACCCATGTTCTACAATTATATCCATACAGCTTATAATAAGATTAGTTTGTTTTCTGGAAATTTGATTCTTGAGTCCTTGTGTTTCACCCGAGTGATTATATCTTTTTCGGCAGACTACCTATGAGAACTTCCGGTACAGAGCTGATAACAGGGTCAATGTCTATAATCGGGGTTGTTTAAATAATTTCCTGGAAGTATTTTGTACGAAAGTGAAGCCATCAAGGAACAATTTCCGAGCTTTTGTTCAAGAGGAGGTACCAAGGCCACCCCCTCCGGTCATTTCGCGAGATCCTGAACCAGATCATGGTGGGGATCCCCGTTCAAAGGTTGAAGATGATCTAGATATCGGTGAAGACCTATTAAAGATATCACAGCGTCGGAATATTGAAGAGATTGATGAGGAAATTCGGAGCAGAGGGAGCAATGGGGCTCCCCATAACATATCTGAAGTTGATTCTGTTTTGGGCTCAGATCGACGAGCTCCAACAATTCGATCTGAAGCAAGGCACTCGAGCGAGGGAAGAACTGGAAGCTGGGAAATTGCACCAGAGGCCCTTGCCAATTCAAATGTAACTGAAAGTAGAAACTATTTTGCAGCAAAGGAAGTGCGACAAAAACTTGGTGGGTCTTTCTGATATTTGCACAGGTATCAATGTAGAAGATGCGGGTTACTTAGATATTAAAGATGGAAAAAGGAAAGGGTCCTTGATCAGATTATAGGAATGGGAATTGAATTGATTGAGGCATCAAGTACAAAAACTTATTTGATCTTTTTTGTGGTAAGCTTAGCTCTTTTGGGAAGAATAGAAATGTGTGTAATTTTCGAGAGACAAAGGAATAGTGTCTTTGTTTTCTTTTTTCTATATTTTTTTTTCTACAGTCCAATATGTGGATTGCATCTTGGCTTTATTCATTGTGTAAATAACCAGTTGTGATGCGAAAAGAATTTCTCTGCATAATGCATTTTAGGCATTGTAAAAACTGGTTCCTCTGTTAGAAGGCTTTTATCATCCATGCTATTTTGGTACTGTTTATCTGTTGAGATTTTGGTGGCAATTTAAGGTTTGAAGTAGATTTTTGGTTTTAACTACATCATTATGTATTGTTAACATTATCTTTCATGCCTCTAGTCTCTTGGCGAGTTATACAGAAAATTTGTTTCTTTTGCAAGATTTGCATAATTTTGTACTACAGCTGACTAAAAGAGGTTGAGTTCGGGAAAAAGGGATAAAATGCATTTAAATATGTCATAAATTTAATAATAAAGTTTATTAGGATAAGCTGAAAATAATTTATTTTGATAACAGCTGAAAGTTGTGAACTTGTGACTTCTAAATGTGAAGTTAGTGGAAAGCTTATAATTGTATAAGTAGTTTATTAAATTAAATTAATTGGCAAAGCAATTGATTGATTTATGTTAAATGACTTAAAAAGAAATATAATATTATATTTATATAATATTAAAATTATTTTAATACATTATATTAATAAAAAATATTATTGTTTTAAACAATGACTTAAATTTATTTTTAAAATTAATTTTAATATATTATATCAACAAAGATTATATAAATTGATTTAAATAATTTATTTTTATAATTTAATTTTTATTTTTAAAATATTATTTATCTAATTAATTTATTTTTGTACAGCAAAATATATTATTGACTGTTAATAATAAAAGATAAAAAAAACGAATACTATAAAGATGAAGAAAATAAAATAATAATAAGACTAACATACTAGATGGTAATTTGTCTTTTTTTCAAATATATATATATATATATAAAGTAGAAATGTAATAAAAAATAAGTGGGTGGGTATTTTGACTTTTGTTCTAATCGTGAAGATTGTTATTATGAATCATTGTCAATATACACAAGTTTTTAGGCTTTAAAAAAAAATCTTCTTAAGGTGTTCCTCAACAAAATTCATATCCACACGCGCAAAGCTTGAGGTTAGGAATACCCATTAATTTAAAAAAAAAAAAAAAGAAGAAGGTAAAACACCAATTAATTATAGGTAAAGATTAGCTATTACCCTATTAAAAAGTTAAAAATAAAAAGTTAAAAATAAAAAATTAATAAACAAATTATTGTTAAAAAAAACTTTTTATTGTATATTTCTTAATTAGTATCTTGAAGACCTTAATTAATAAGATCCTTAATCTTATATAAACATAATTTTTTTTATTTTATTTTTTTTATTTCTTATTTTATTGGATAATCTAGAGTGCCTTAAGATTTAAACATATTGTAAATAAGGTCTAAAACTCTTCATTATACATAAGGATAGAAACAGGCTAGATTTAGTTAGACTTTATGTAAATATATAACTTATTTAATAATTTTAAAGCTCAAGTCTAACTTATTATCTATTATAATTTTTTTTACTAAATTTAGTTTAACTTTTTTAAAAATTTATTTTGATCTATTAACATTTTTAATGACTTACTTATATTGAAACTTTTAAATAAAAAAATATTTTATTACTCTAAATTAAAGAAGACATTTTGTTAACATGAAAATAAAGAAAAAAAATAATAAAAAAGAATTATGTATAATATAAATAAATACACAACAAATTATAAATGAGACAAATCACGTAATCAAGATAATACAAATCAAATCAACATTATGCGTATAAAATATATCAGATAACAATAACATAAAAGATTTCAACAAGTAAGACTTTCTCTCTTAGAAAGTACGTAGTAGAGATACTATTTAACTAATATTTTTAATTTAAAATTTTATTTATTTTAAAATTTTATTTATTTAATATATTATTATAAATTTTATGAGTTTTAAATAGACTATTCTAATAGGCTAGCTAATTTAATAAATTTAATCTTTTAAAAAACTTAAATTAAGTTTGTTAGTTAAATAAATTAAGTTGGATCAAATTTTAAAAAGCTTAAGTTATAAGCTTCTGTTGACTTATTTTCATTCCTAATTATACATACTTGAAAGTATTTTAAAATTAATTTAGATCTTATTTTAAACTTTAATAATTCTCTAATATTATTAAGTAATATATGAAAAAAACTCCATATTAATTTGATTGAATAAAACAAATGATAAAAATTACTTTTATTGTATTTTATAATAATGGATTCTCAATATATTATATTATAGCATCTCTTTTGTTTATTAAATTTGTTTAACAGTGTATTTTTATTCACACTGGGCAGTTTTAATAATTTTATTTAATTTTCCAAATTCACCAAAACTTTGATAATATTCTCAATTTATGAGAACAATGATATTTTATTATGCCCATCAAATCATTTGATCTAGCATTTTGAATTGATAAAGTTTTCGTCTAAGGTGTGTTTATTTCAGTTATCCTATCAAAATTTTTCTATAAATTCCCCAATTTATAATATGGTTCAATTAATTATATTTATTTTGTACATAATTTTTCTCAAACTCTATCTTTCTTTTTCTTCTAATTTTATCTCAAGAATTAAGTTTATATATGCATCAATTATCATACGTTAGTATGAAGTTGAAAAAATAATGGTTGAAAAAACGGCAAGACTAAGAAAATAAGTAAAAGTGTACAGTTGTTCAGTGTTCACCATGATCACAAGCAAAGCTAAATATATATATATATATAATATGGGAAAATCAATTTACCAACTTTAATTAATTGTTATTGTAAAATAATCAATATATAAATAAAAATTAAATAAACTTTTTATAATTTAAAATATTAACCATTCTCAATTTTCGTAACAAACTTCTATACGTCAAACATGTTTGTGTCAGAAAACAGAGGGCGAAGTAATAAACACCAAAAGTTCCTTAACTTACCTTAAACAACTCGAACTAAAAGTTGAAATAAACGATCTCACAACAAAATTAGCAAAGACTTACGTAAGCCAACCATTATCATATAGACGTATCTAAAAATAAGCTCACAAGCCTAAATTACAAAATTTCACTCACTATAAAGAACGTTAACCCAATAACGGGTAAGAACCCATCCTCTCCACAAGGCCATAAGGGACCTTGAATTCTTCATCTATATTTTGTTTTTCTCCACAACAACAAAATGAATTCCTCAGCATTTTCTTCCTTGTTCTTCGCCCTTTCCTTGATCCTCATTTCTCATGTGCCTTTCCCAACATCAGGCGCCAACTTAATTGAATCTGTATGCAATGATGCGATGGAGGACCAGGTTGCTTGCCTTCAACTTCTCCAATCCGAGCCACGATTCGCCACGGCGAAAAACTATGTTCATCTCTCGAAGATGATCCTTGAGATGGGGGTGAAGAAGGGTGAAAAAGTCCAGAATGAGCTAAAGGAGATGATGATGAAAAACCCTTCACCAGCCATCACACAATGTGCAACTACCCTTTATGATGGGGTGGTTGGATCATTCAAAAGCTCATTGGGAGAAATGAAAGAGGATGGTTTAACAGCAAATTATGATGCAAAAGTTGCTGGTGATGGACCTGCCACATGCGATAGAGCCTTGGCTGCAGCAAACATTGTCAATCCCACAATTTCTGCCCTAAACAAGGAGATCTTGTTGATTAGCAAAATTGCATTTCTGGCCACCAACGAGCTTCCCGAAAGCCCATAAACGGATTGTGCATGATAGATAGAGGAGAAAGGAATTGTTGGGTGGGTATAATATAAGCCTTTTGGGTCTCCAATGTGGAGGGAGACAAATTAACAAAATCGTGTATGATTCTACTATTTAGATCGATTCAAAGTTCGATCTATTATTTTTCTTTTTTAATTTGTTAATTATTTGCTTTTGTTTTATGGCAATTGAAAAGGCTAACTTTTACTTACGCAAGGAAAAACCATGCATCAACATCTTTTTTTATAACATGCACGGTTATTAGTCATATTGGATGGATAAAATTTCAAGTATAAGGAGAGATTTTTTATCAGTAAATATCACATCCTTTCCTCATGTTAGGGAAAAGACACATTAACCTTCTTGGTCTGTTTATGTGTAAACTGCCCTACTCATACATAGAACTTTCAAATGCATATGTATACAGCTGACACCTTTTCTTAACTATATTTCTCAATTCTGCACAAAGGAAGAGGGGGCGGGGGAGAATCTAATTATAATTTCACCTTTTCCTTACTACATTTCTTCATAAAAAATAAAAAAACTATATCTTTTAAATTTAACATCAAATCACCGGTAAATACAATCTTTCAACTGAATCCTACTATTTTTCTAATGAAAATAATTTAACTAGATAATTAAAAATATTTTACAGAAAAATATAAAAAAAGAACAAATTAAGTTATAAACATTTTTTTTAACTTATACAATAATGCATAAAATAAAAAAATTATATATAATAAAATTTTATTAAAAATTGTAGCATTTAATAGTAGAAATGCATTGAAATCTGTATTTTGCATGTTACATAATAAGGTCTGTAGTGCAATCTTTACAGGAAAAAAAATGTAATAAAAATTAAATTAAATTATAATTAATAAAATATAAATAAAAAATAATTATTTTTAACTAAACTACTAGATAAATTATATTATCGTAACATGAGTCATGACGAGTGATAATTAAAGAATATTCTATACAAATAAATATTTTCTTTTAATCATATAAGTCGCTCGTTGTCAAAGTTTATTAAAAAAAATATTAATTTTTTTTTAACATAATGTGATATTTAAAATCATAAATGAATTTGAAAGTCATTCTTGCTCTTACGTATCCTTAAGTATAATGAGGATTTTAAAATCGCATAATTCTATTATACTAATTATAGAATTAGTTTATAATTTGAAATTTAAAAATTTTTTAAGGAATTTGTTTTAAAAATTAGATATTTTTCTTTTTCATAAATAAATTTAAAAATTTTAAGATGCAAAATAACACAACTATATATGTTATTCAATAAAATATATTGAAGGCCCAACAGAAAGATTTGTATATTCATATTGTAATTCGTTACAAAAAGAGTATAAATTTTAAGACAATGTATTTTAATTTATGAAAAACATTTGAGCATACATTTTAATTTTAAATTTAATATTAAAGAAATTTAAGACAGTGTAAATTATACATAAATCTCTTATGACTTATTCGTTAACCAAAGGTAATGTAAATCGTAAAATAGTATCGTAAAATATTATATAATAAAATGCACAAATAAATTTAAGTTATTTAATTTATCAAAGTTAGAACATGATTTAAAAATTTAAATATAAATTTAATTGTATTTAATGAGACGAGAAATATTTAACAAAAAAATGAAAAGTATATTCAGATTGATTAGTAAAAATAATTATTTAATTAAGGGAAATTATAGTATTATTTGATTAATTTGTATTGCATGAGACTAAAGATAATATTAGTACATCAAAGTCTTAACAATTTAAAACGCATAAAAATAAAGATGTTACACAATAACATGACAAATAGCTACATTAAAATAATTCTTAGTTTAATTTAAAGAATCAAATAATAATTTGATAATTAAAGAGAAAATATTTAAAAAAATATATTTAGATCAATTAAAATAAAATATTTATATAATTGATTAAAGTTAAAATATATTAAATTTTTATCGCATAAAACTTAAGCAACATAGATACACGTAGGTCTTATCAATTTATAGCACATGACAATAGATAAATTATATGTTTATGTTATAAGTTGATGCAAATATTTTATTATTTATTTATTTAATATAAAACAAATTCAAATATAATTTTGTAGTCATGAAATAAAGGAAGAAAAAACATAAATATAAAATATCTTCTTTCTCCTTGCTCTTTGGATCTTTAGGACTCTCTTCTTCTAAAAATTTTTCTTCTCTTAGAAGTTTTGTTGCCCCCTATCTCTAGATCTTTTTTATATATATATTGGTGTCATATTCACTTTTAAGGTTTCACACGACCATATTTCTGATTTTTTCCCCTCATTCATGTTAAAAGCTTATTCTTGAAGTTGTGTTCAAATTTTCGAAAAGCAAAATATCTATCTATGAGCCAAACTCACTTTCAAACATTTTCTTTTTTTATTTAAAACATTCTCAATATTTAAAAAAGAAATATTTGAGAGCATGAAAAAATTGATATTCACAATTGCCCCACTTTACTTAGTTCATATCAAATCAAGATGTTTCTATGTTGGAGTTGATAAGATAATACTAGAATTTTATGATTTTTTGCAAAAATTTACAAAAAAACATATTTCATGCAAATTTTGCTGCAAATGTATTGTTACAGGAAAACCTTTATGGTTAATTATTTCTGCAAAAAATAAAATCTGCAAGTAATTTTTCTACAAATTTTAATAGGAATAAATTTGTAGATAATTTCCTACAAAAAATAATTTGCAATAGAATCTCTAAATATATATATATATATATATATATATATATACAAATAAATTTGCAGATAAATTCTAAGAAAAATTGGCATAAATTTTTCATTAAAAAATTGTAAAAAATGAAGAAATTTGGCAAGTATTTTTAATTTTTTAAGAAATTTGAAAAAAATTCGATAAATAAATTACAAATTTATTAACCAAAAATTTCCTAAGAAAATAAGAAAAGTTTGTAAAAAAATTTACAAAAAAAAAAAAAATACTTTATACAGCTAATTTTGCAAATAAATTTGTAGGAAAATTTTATAAATCAATAAAATAGTTTAGATAAGGAGTTGCGATGCAGCTGCATGGTTTATACAAATCCAATTTATCATCTGTATGTAAGCCTTGGTAATGGTAATTATTTTGGTTCAAAAAAAACGTGCTTGAAATATAATGCAAGAATTATACTTAGTGCATTGAAATCTGTATTTTGCATATTACATAATAAGGTCCGTAGTGCAGTATTTACGAAATAAATAAAGTAATAAAAATCAAATTAAATCATAATTAATAAAATATCAATAGAAAATAAATTTTTAATTAAACTATTGGGTAAGTTATTGTCACAACGCGAGTCGTAACAGGATGACAAAGGATCTTTAAAGAATATTTCATATAAATAAATATTTTTTAAAAATCAGATGAGTCACCATAAAAGTTTGTTAAAGAAAATATTAGAAAAATTTAAAACAGTATAATATTTGAATTTTCAAAGCCCTTTTTTTCTAAAAATTTCTCTTCTCTTATAAATTTGTTACCCCCTCTCTAGATCCTTCCTTTATATATGTTGGTCTCATATTCACTTTTAGGGTTTCACAATAGGCTATATTTTTGAATTTTTTTTTCCTCATTTATGTTAAAAGTTTATTCATGGGATTATGTTCAAATTTTCATAGAGCAAAGTATATAATTCTATAAGCCAAACTCACTTTCCAACATTTTTCTTTTTTTCTTTTGTTAAAACATTCTCATATTATTTTGTAAAAAAATATTTGAGAGCATCCAAAAATTGGTATTCATATTTGTCTCTCTTTACTCAGTTCATATTAAATGGAGATGTTTCTATTTTGGAGTTAATAAGAATTGAGTTCAAAAGTGAATCAATTTTTTGTCTAAAATGGATAAGCTACACAAAGTCAACACAAGCTATTATAGTGAGCATTTAATTATGATAAAGACAAAATAAGAGAATTTAGAACAATGAAACGTACATGAATGTTATACTAGCAATAAATTTTATCCAAAACTTAAAAACCATGTTAAGCGAATGTCTGACATGAACAAAGATTTGTGTTGTACAAACAATAAAAAATCGTCAAATAGATATTGGACTTAAACTAAAAATAAATGTTGTTAGGTAAAACAGACAACTCAAGTTCTGGTGTTTGACAAAGAAGTATAAGAGACTAGTCAAGTTTTAGTCTTTAAGAAAAATGTGAACAATAAAATAAAGAGGTCAATTAGATTTTATACTTTACAATGAAAAAGTAAAAGGATCTAGTTAAGTTCTGAATTTTTACATAAATGTAAAGAGATTTTGACAAGAAAAGTAAAAAAAATTTAGTTAGGTTCTAAATTTTAACAAAAAATAAAAGGCCAATCAGATTATGAACTTCAACAAAAGAAAGTAAGATAAAAAAAAATAGAGACTAATCAATTTCTAAATTTTGAAAAAAAAAAAGATGTAAGGTACCCTGTGTGATCCTAGACTTAAACTATAAATAAAAGTTGTAAGACAAATACTGAACTTAAGCTAGACTTCAAATGGTAACAAAAAATAAAGATAAATGCATGCTAATGTAATAATGTGATTGTGCAAACTAAATGAATGTTAACACATGGAATGAAGTTAATGTATGATGACATTAATGATGTCAAATGTTGTGATAAGACTTATTAAGTCAAAACAAACTTTTTTTTTTCTTTTGGAGTTTTGGAGTTCATAATCCTTATCATAACAAATACCTCAAGGTTTGTGAATGACTACGATTTTGGTTTGGATCAATTCCTTCATTAGAGTTGTATTAAGTTAAGATATCAGTCAAATTAGACTGCAGCTTATTTATAAGCTATCATGAGAAGTCAACTTTTTCTATCACATTAGATTTATGAAAACAACTCATTAAGCTTATGGTGAATTTTTAAACTCATTATTGTAGTTAAGTTTTTTTATTATTTAAAAAATATAACATGTTTCCTTTTAGTATATATTTATTGAA